TTGGGATTATTATATATATTTCCTCGTATATAAATTTAATTTAAAATCTTACTCTACCTTGCTGCTTTATTATATCTTCCTATATCCTTTTTGTCTTTTTTCCTCATTTATCTTTCTGTCTGGCCTGTCCTCCAGTTTTGAACTCTTTTGACTCAACTTCCAGTTCATTTCAGTTCACTCCAGCCTGTTGCCCTTGAGGCTTTCCCCCAAGTAAATAATTGCTTGCTTTGTATCTGTTTAGCTCACAAGGTCACATATTACCTGCTATTAAATCCAATCATATATATATTTACTTGGAACAAGCATCCACTGATATGGATCAAACTTAATAAAAAGTTTTTTTAATATGCAAGATTCATATGCCAGTTATTTTATTTAGTACTTTTATATCATTGCATTTCATATCATATTTATTTATGTGTATGTGAATAGCCTATGCTCTAAGCCAGGGGTCCTCAAACTAAGGCCGGGGGGCCGGATGCGGCCCTCCAAGGTCATTTAACCGGCCCTCGCTCAGAGTCAACCTAAGTCTGGAACAACTTGAAAGCACACAACAATAACTACAATCCTATCTCATCAGCCAAAAGTAGGCCTACACTTCCCATTGAAATACTAAAAATTTTATATTTGTTGAAATTGTTCTTCATTTTAATTATTGTATTGTTTTAAAGTGTTTTTTGCACTACAAATAAGATATGTGCAGTGTGTATAGGAATTCATTTGTGGTTTTTTTCCCCAAATTATAATCCAGCCTTCCAACAGGTTGAGGCACTGTGACCTGGCCCTCTGTTTAAAAAGTTTGAGGACCCCTGCTCTAAGCATTAATACATTACTACTACGGACAAGTAATTATAGATAGAATGGCAATTTCAGAATAATTTGGATTTGTCAGTATTTCAGGGTAAATTTCTCTTTATTATAACAAATTCTGCAGATTTAAAAAAATTGATAACATTTCCATTTGTACGTAATATAAGATGGTTTAACAGATTTTGACTGAAGTCCCTGGGTCATAAATGAGGAAAAGAATAATGAGAAATGACAGTGCACATATGCCACGGCATGGAGAAAGGGAAAATCAATTAATCAATGAGTCAATGGGAAAGAAAATCAAACAGAAAATAACATCTGGACAAATATGCTACTTGCTTATAAAAAAAACCCCAAAGCATTTCCCTCATGAGCAGAAAGGAACAGGAATAAAGTTTCAAATTAAGGTATAAATAAACCTTCAGTTCATAAGGCTAAATATTAATCTTGTGTCCACTAAACTGAATTTAAAACAATAATAATCACAAAAGACCTTCTGCAATTTCAAGCGATTACAATGCTAAAAGCAATTATATTTAACCAGATGAGTATCTCACCATAGTTTAAATTCCCCCTGGTGTCATTTCATGTTATATTTGAGAAATTCCTCAATAAAAATGTCAAATAGAGAATGAGTTGAGTTCCTCCAAGGACAGACTTGGAACACTTCCAATACAAATGTGTAGCCAACAAATCTCAACTAAAATGAGTAGAAATAAAGTTCTTTGGATTAAAGTGAAAAGAGAAAAGATGTAAATAGGAAAGACAGGAGGCAAAGAACTCATCAACTATATCTCCTTGTCCTAAAATAGACAACACCTTTACAGTTATTTGCACATTTGTTTAAAAGAAATGCCAAGAAAGAGCGGATTCATACGGAGTCCTGTATGAAGCAATTTCTTTCTAATGTCCTACTAATTAAAATAGCAAGGAGGATATGATACATTTTAAAAACCTTCTCTACAAAACAGAGACAAGAAAATGTTGATTCAACTCTGCTAATTCTTTATTGACCTTCTGACAAGATCTTCCTAAGTGGCTTACAATAATGTTAACAACATGTAACAAACATTTAACATTTAAGCTGTAAAGCCAGCTGTTGACAAACTGTTTTCTCCAGCAGAAATTTTATTCGATGGAAACTTTCAAAATGAAGATCTAAGATGTTATTTATCTTCATGAGCAAAAATGCAAAATCTTTGGTTTTTTGGATGAAATCTAAATTGATGGATTATTTCAATTTCCTGAGATGGCCTCTAGATAAAGTTGATTCAAGTTATTGACTCAAGTTATCTAAAAACTCACTCAGGTCACATTTGATTGCTTCTACACATGGAATTAATGTTGCAACAAAGCTCTATACTATTTGAAATGTAGATGTGGCTCTTAATGAGACATTATCACGGGGTGTCTGCGCCCTACACCACTGGAGAAATTACACTGCTTAGTATCGCACCACCTGACATCCGCCGGGAAGTAGCAGCCAATAGTGAAAGGACCAAGGCAGAGACATCTCCAGCTCATCCCTTGTTTGGGTATCAGCCAGCACATCAACAACTTAAATCTAGAAATAGTTTTCTAAGATCTACAGAGATACTCGCTGGAACACCTCAGCAAGCGAGAGTCCAAAAGTAGCAGGCTCAAACCCAGAACCTCAACCAATGGCTGATACCAAATAAGAGAATCCCCCCTGGGCACACAGAAGACTGGGCGACTTGGAAGGCACTGAACAGACTGCGCTCTGGCACCACAAGATGCAGAGCCAACCTCAAGAAATGGGGCCACAAAGTGGAACCCACGACATGCGAGTGTGGAGAAGAGCAAACCACTGACCTCCTGCTGCAATGCACCCTGAGCCCTGGCACATGCACAATGGAGGACCTTCTTGCAGCAACACCAGAAGCACTCCAAGTGGCCAGATACTGGTCAAAGGACATTTAATCAACTACCAAACTTGCAAATTGTGTGTTTTGTCTGTTTGTTTGTTTGGTTCTGTTAAAAATGTAATACAATTGACTGGTTGCCCTGACACGACAAATAAATTTGAAATTTATTTCACCAATGTATGAAGGGTATATTACAGTATGTTGTAGCAGGACCAAGTGTGTGTGTGTGTTGAAGAAAAACCTTATGATGGTAATTATTGTGTGCAGCTGGTAATGTAGGTCAACCAGCAATCTCGGACTATACCCGATAGGGTATAACTATATGGGTTTTTAGATTACAGTTCTGGAGAGTTTTTTCTCTGAGGAGATCTAATCTCAAAGGCGCTGCTCTGAGGAGTAGGTTGGAGAGAAGCCGTTATGCTGCTCTAAAGGAGGTTATGGTGGAATAGCTGTTTGCTCAAGGTTTATGTTTTGCTTTCTCATTTGACTTAAGATGAAGATGCCTTATTTTGTGTTACAGATACTATGTAAGTTTCTTGCACGGTTTGTTTTTTCTATGTAACACTACAAGTTTGTATTTCATATCTGCTATTAAGAGAAAAGATTTTTTTGTTCATTTCTACTCTTGTCTGTGAGTGTTGTGCATGGGACGTGGCTAAGATCTGCTTGCTGTGCAACAGGGTAAAGATAAATGAGGGTACTAAACAAAACCACCCACTATGTTCTTAAGTTCTCTTGTTACAAGTTTGCCTCCCTGCATGCCCCAAGTTGCCACTGCCTTTGCCTCTTCCTCCTCTCCTGGGACCCATCCCCTACACTCCCACTCACCAGGGCTGGCCTCCTCACAGTGCGGGCGGAGAGTGGATGGCACAGCCTGGTGGTGCAGAGCTGGCAGGGGGCCCTGTCTCTGGAGAGACACGGACCCTGGCAAGTGGAGAAGGAGGCCTCACCAGCCCTGAAGAGGTCTGATAACAAGGGTTGCCATGCTTGCACATTTGCATGAATGTAGAAGGATAGTGGCATCATACAATAAAGTACTTGACCCCATCAACTTCTCAGATACGTTTGTGGGAACAAGGGATAGGGCCTTCTCAGTAGTTGCTCCCAGTTTCGGAATTCTGTCCCTAGTGATTCCAGGATGGCTTCCTCCTTGCTATCCTTCTGCTGATAAATAAAAATGATTCTGTTCCAACAGTCTTTTGGGAGTTGACTATAATGTTGTACTATTTGTTGATTTTTATCTTTGATGTTGCATGCATTTAAATGCTCTTAATACTTTACACTTTACAGCTGCATTTTAAGATCAATTTTATATATTACTAGCTGTACGCCGCCACGTGTTGCTGTGGCCAAACTTCCCTCCCTCTTTCTCTCCTCCTTTCTTTCTCTCCTTCCTTCCTTTTTTCCCTTTCCTTCTCTCCTTCTTTCTCTTCCTCTTTCCTTCCTTCCCCTCCCTTTTTCTTTCCCTTTTACTTTCTCTCCTTTCTTCCTTCTCTACCTATTCTTGGACTGCAACTTCCAGCAGTACTCCTGATCAATCTACCTACCTACCTACTTACCTATCTAATCTAATCTATCTATCTATCTGGAGGATTGCTGGGAGTTGTAGTATGCAGGGATTGGGATGCTCTCAAAGAAATCCAAGGAGAAGAAAACTTGCATCTTGGAATCAGTGCATTTGGAGCATCCTCCTCCCCTAAAGGGCCTGGTGTAAGGGGATGCTGAGAGCTGTCGTTTTCAAACATGTGTCTTATCGTCATTTTGCTTTTTATGCTCTTTTTGCTGTTTTTTGGGGGTGTTTATGAGTGATGGTCACTCGTTGGTCTGTTAGGGGTGAAGTGTCCAAATTTTGTGTCAGTTCATCCAGTGGTTTTTGAGTTATGTCTGTCCCACAAACATTACATTTATATATACGATTACTGATGCCTTTTACTGGTGTCTATATTTTAATCTGCATTTATTTTAATATTTTGTAAACTGTTTTGGGTCTCAGAATAACAGGGATATGAATCACATCATCATCATCTGAATAAACAAAAATGCTTGTACTGTATTTTGCGATCTCAAGCCATTTGCCGACTGAAAGTATTTCCCTAACATGGATTTTGGATGTCTTCACACTCTCAGTCTCTTAGAAACTGAAAGTCTTGACAAAAAATGTGTGGGAAGGATTTTTCAGGGTCAGGTGTAAAATTACTTCAGTTTTCTTATCAACATTGTGCCTAAATAACTGCAAGCACCTCTGAATAAGATGAGTTATTCAAGAAATTATTTACCAATAGTTTCCCCAGAATAATGACTCACCAAGGCAGTTGTGTCCATCATGAGCCAGCATGAATCCATCGTAGCAAGTGCACCTGTAGTTGCCTGGAATATTGATGCATTCATGTACACATCCTCCATTGTAGAAGTCATTTTCACACTCATCGATATCTAAGAAGAGAGAGTCCATTGTTTTTATTAGCAATTATATCACACATAATGTATGAGGACAACATCATTTACAGAAATTATTGCTATATGGGATTGCAATGCTTAGAGGGGCTGTAACACTTAGAGCAAGACTTCTTAAATCTTTTCAACTTGTGACCCTATTTTTTCTGATAAATGTATACAGGACCCCAAATATATAAAATATCCCATAGGCCTCAAAGCTTGGGTCCCCAACAAGCCCTCTCTTCCACCTTCTCCCTCTCCCTTTTCTCTAAGGCAAGGAGACGCAACAATTTTTTTGGGGATAATAGTACGACACAAAAAAAGATGCTTCTTCCCTCCCTCCTTCCTCCCTCACCCAACCCTCACAGAAATCTGTCCAACATAAAGCTATGGCCATTCTAAGTCAAAGCTTTCAATGGTTTTGGCTTAGAGTTACATTATAATATTCAATTACAAATGTTCATCAAAGTCATTGGCATGATGCACGACTAATCAGAAATTACATCTATTTTGCCAAAGAGAAGTAGATATTAATAGGCAAAAAACATTGCTGGAGTGCTTTGGCACACATGCAACTAGATTAGTTCAGACATAACATTCCAGATCTTCTTGAAAGGGGGACAAGTAATGAAGTTTAACACATTTTCCCCCTTTGCACACCATGATCTCAGAAGAAGGAAAGTGTAATTTAATTTCCCAATAAACAGTATAATTTTCCTATAAACTGTAAACCAGGATCAAATCTCTCTCACATGACAATGATAAAACATTATAAATCTTTTTCATAATACTGCTCCTTTCCATAGTGGGTAACTTAACATGAGCAACCCACACAGATAGATTTTAGATGACCCCACACAGATACAGATATAAAAGTCATATCTATACATCTATAGGAGATTTCAGGAAAGTTTCTTTCGTGGACTAAAACTCTTGGGCTGGAATATACTGGAAGTAATATTCCAAACATTTTTCAGGCTAGATAAAGATATCAATATTGATGTCTATTTGTTTAAAATTAGGTCTAGTTACTGGGTTGTTGTAGGTTATTCGGGCTATATGGCCATGTTCTAGAAGCATTCTCTCCTGACGTTTCACCTACATCCATGGGAAGCATAGATGCTGAATGTAGCATTTGTTGGATTTTCTTGGTGGGTCAGTAGATATGTTGTGTTTCCTCATCAGTGTCCCAACACCAGAGACCTCAACTCAGATCCAGATATCATTATTCTCCCAGCAGACAAGGGGAATGCCACAGTAATCATGGAAACAGAACAATACAAAGAAAAGATCAGAAAACCCCTGGATCCCACTATATACAGAAAACTTAAACAAGACCCAACTTCCAAAATAACCAGAAAAACCAACACTCTGATCAAGAACTTCTCGATCAACTTTGACATATGCCAACAACTACGCAAATTGAAAGTCCTCCCACCTAGGCTTTATGGACTCCCAAAAATCCATAAGGACTCCACTCCACTCAGACCCATCGGGAGTGCCATTGGGACCCCCACATATGACTTAGCAAAATATTTGGCTGCAGAGTTACAAACTCATAATGAGCTCACTACGCACTACATCAAGGACTCAGCCCACTTCATAGAAAAAAGCAGCAACATACAAACTATTTACAGACCCACCAAGAAAATCCAACAAATGCTACATTTAGCAAAGGACAAGAGAGATCCTCTCACTTCTGCAGGAGTCTACTGTATACCATGCAGCTGTGGACAAGTCTACATAGGGACCACCAAATGCAGCATCGCCCAGACACGAATCAAGGAACATGAAAGGCACTGCAGACTACTTCAACCAGAGAAGTCAGCCATAGCAGAGCACCTGATGAACCAACCTGGACACAGCATATCATTTGAGAACACAGAAATGCTGGACCACTCTCACAACCACCATGTCAGACTACACAGAGAAGCCATTGAAATCCACAAGCATGTGGACAATTTCAACAGAAAGGAGAAACCATGAAAATGAACAAAATCTGGCTTCCAGTATTAAAAAACTCTAAAATTATAACAGCAAAACAACACTAAAACACAGGGAAACTCCAGAGAGGAAACAATCAGGGACAGCGAATCGCCTCTCAACAAAAGATTCCCCCAGGCACTAACAAGCCACACCAAAAAACTGCCAGTCCATCAAATGCTAATCAAGGTGGCCAGTTGAAACATTCACACCTAGCTCCAGCAGATCAAAAGTTCCTTGTCCCACCCTGGTCATTCCACATTTATATAAACCCAATTTTCCTACTTCCCACAGACCTCACAACCTCTGGGGATGCTTGCCATAGATGCAGGTGAAACATCAGGAGAGAATGTTTCTAGAACATGGCCATATAGCCCTAAAAACCTACAACAACCCAGTGATTCCAGCCATGAAAGCCTTCGACAATACATTAAGTCTAGTTAGCTCTTAAAGGCAACGATGGGAGGACAAGCCACTCGATGAATTAATGCATTGGCAAAAGTATGGCAACACAAAGAGCAGGGGAGGGATTTTTTCCTGTATGAGATCAGAACCAAAGGGTAGTACTACATTTTTCATGAAAGCAGAGAGAACAGTGAAATCATGTGGACTGAACAGATTTTTTTTTTAAAAGTGGAGCTCCTCTTCCTTGATGGGCATGTGGATAAGGGCTTTATCCTATGGAATGCACGCTCCTTCAAGTTGCAATCATTTCACACTCTTGCTATAGATTTTTCTAGGTTAGTGATTTTCAGCAATTTGACAGTTCTTGTCAACTTTTCTTTTTTTGGATCTACTGCCTGCAGGGTATTTAGGCATCTTTACTACTGCTGTAAAGTCGGACTGGGGTTTTTTGTTTTTTTTACAGAATTCTTTCTTTTTTGTAATTTTTAAAATTTATTTAAGTATTTATTTATAAAGACATTTACATACTGCCTTTGAACACCTCCTACGTAAGTGGCCTCAAGGTGCTTTGTAATAATAACACAAAATGTAAGAAACAAAAAAGAGACTGTACAAACAAACACACAATAGCACAATTAAAAGACAAATAAAAGATACTGAAAACCTGGTAGAATATATATTGTCTTTCCTGCCCATATAAGAAAAAATACATTAGACAATATTAACTATGGTGAGCATTACAATTGTTGAAAGTAGAGATGATTACATTACAAAACCCGATAATAGTTATACTGTTATGGATCTGGATTAGAGTCTCTGCATACTTTTCAGTTAAGTAAGGCAAATATAGCTTGGGAAGAGAAAGAATTACAAATGTAAAGAGTAAAGATATGTATGTTCAAAATATTAGTTTTCATGCTAGTGGATTTCTGCTTCAGACTTTATATCTCACCAGATAATGTATCCACCTGCTTTTATAATGATAATAATAACAGTAACTACTATTATTATCATCATTATGTCCATTTAAAAAGTTAGTGTCAAGTCACACAAAATGGTTGTTATTATTATTTATTTATTTACGAGGGACTCAGGCTGGTTTACAGCATATATGCAAATTACAATAATATACAAAAATAAAGTACATCAACATTACAGATTAAAATCATACAGTAAAAAATCATCACCTCATTACCCAAGCCAAATCGTCATACAATCACAGTCATAGTCACAATTCATCCTTCTCCTTCCATATGGACAAAGATTATGAGATCAGTCCTTAAAAGCCACATTCCACAGCCAGGTCTTTATTAGTTTCCTGAAAGTCAGGAGGGAGGGAACAGATCTGATCTCTAGTGGGAGGGAGTTTCAAAGCCAGGAAGCCACCACTGAGAAGGCCCTGTCCCTCGTTCCCACCAGACGCGATTGCGAAGGAGGTGGGACCGAGAGCAGCCCCCTCCCCCCCGGAAGATCTTAATAATCTTGATGGTTCATAGGGGAGAATCCGTTCGGACAGGTAGACTGGGCCGGAGTCGTATTATTATTATTATTATTATTATTATTATTATTATTTATTGTGTAGTTAATGGGAAGCTGGCCCAGGCCTTCAAGCAGACATATTTTTATCTTTTTTAAAAAAAATGAAATATATTATCAAATTTGTATCTATCCTTCTTTCATATACATATGAATTTCTGTTGTATCCATATTTTCTAGTTCTTTGTGTACTATATAATATTGTTGTAGCCTGGTCAGATTCTGAGTGCTCAGAAGATGAGGAAGGGGATACTGGGATAGATTCGGAAGGCCCAGAGGAGGATAGAAGTGGCCTGGAGAGAGTTGTTTTGGAATCCCTTGGCAATCTCCTTGACATTGGAGAAAGCAATATCAATTCTCATGAGAAGCGCAGGCTAAGAGTAATGTGGGAAACAAATGTTTGTCCAGATCAAGGAGCTTGGAACTTTGGAGGCAAAACGTACAACAGACAGACTCGCTTTTGCCAGTGGCTTAGAGATATGAAGAGGAAAAGCAGGTGTATGAGGCAGGTGTATGAGGAATTATGTTATGGGAGGGTTTGAGGCATTTTAAGTGGTTTTCTGCTGGTACACTCCTTTGTGAGAGCAATTGTGCTAGTACGGCTGTATCAGGAGCTCCAAACTCCCTTTTGTTCTTTGAGCGTTTGCATGTGCTTGCTCTGGCCATGCATTTTGCAGTTGGATGGTTCCTGCTAGGCTGCAGTCATGGGGCTAGCCACCTGTCTATCATCATTAAGTTTTAGTTCCGCCCTTTTTTCCAGGTTCAGGAGGGAAAGGGAACCATTTTAGTTCAGTCTTACAGTTGGAAGCTCAGCTACAGGAAGTGAAAGTTTTCTACCTGTAGAGAAGCTTCGTTTCTTACAAAGTCCGGGGGAAAACAGTCCCAAAAGCTCTGGCTGGGGAATTTACAGCCTCACAGCTTTAAGAACAGTCTCTAAAGAAAGGCTTTTAAGAGAAACAGCTTTACAGCACAACCCTTGTTGGGGTTGGAGAAACGGACCTACAACTTTTGTGGGAAAAATCCTAAGGACTCCAGCTGGAAATTCTTCAGAGCCTTGGCTGGTAGGTCTACTC